CGGCGGAGGACAAAAGGGGGGATCCTGCTGGCGGCGTGGGGGTGCCGGGAGTCCCGACAGCGGGACAGATGCAGTAATTCAGAGCAAGAGGCAGGGGTCATTTCATAGAAAAAGAGGTGCAGGAGCTCATTAGCATAACTAATTAGCATAACTTATTTGCATATGCCACACACCCCGACATCACTGGAAGTGTGTCAGAAGGCAACACCCACTGCTCAGGCTCCACTGGACTGTTTGGGATTGCTAGCTACTGAGGGGGGGGGGAGACGTGAAGATCTGTCCTCACAAAGGAGGGAGAGCTTCTACCTGAATAAGACTTGGCCTTAAAGGTGCCACTGGACTGTTTTGGACTGGGGGGGGTGCTCTGCAATTTACCTGGCTGCTTCTTGCCCTGATTGAGGGTTGCTGGGAGCAGGGGTTGGGGCTTGTTGCATGAGCCTGCCCCCTGGGCTCTTTACTGCCGGAGCTCCGCTCCTGTGCGCTCCCTGCAGGAAATGACCCCTGGCAAGAGGTGTCAGTTTTCAGACACTGTTAAATAACCAAAATATTGCAAGAGCGCTGTTTTGAGCATGTTTTTATTTTAAGTAAAAAAAACCACGCTTTGTGTTTGTGTCCTTTATAAAGTTTATCTCTCCGCTACCTGGCATTACATTTTATGACACACACGGCCCGGCCCGACAAGGTTTCATTTATGTCAGATCCGGCCCTCGTAACAAATGAGTTCGACACCCCTGCTTTAGAGTATTCCATATGCTTCAAATACTTGACCTCTCTAATCCTTACAACAACCCTGCGGTTTGAGTGGTACAGCCCTCCCCGTGTAGCAGGCAGGGGTAACAATGCCATAGGCCCAATCCCCCAAAGTATCCATTTTCTCCAGGGGAACTGATCTTTGTAGACTGGAGATGAGCTGTAATTTTGGGGGATCTCAGGTCCCACCTGGAGGCCGGCGTCCCCACCGACATACCTGAACCCCACCTTTCTTCCCAGGATCCCCCCAATTTAATTGGGAATAAACACGGTGGGCAGGGCAGGGCTTGCCATTATCTACTGCAAAAACTTTGGCTGCTAAAGCCCTTCAAGTCCATCTCCCCAGGAACCTCCGGATGACCTCCCCTGGGGCGGAGGGCTGCGTTTCCTACCTGGTTATTGTGTGGCATTCCATACAACGCTTCCACCAGGTCGGCCGCCCTCTTGAGTAGCACTTCCTGTGGGTGAAAAGAGAGAGCCGAGATGCTGAATACCTTATTTCTTTGATTCTCCGGGAAATCACAGCTGCCCGCTGCATCCTTTTTCATCAGTCGTAAGAACATAAGAGAAGCCAATGCTGGATCAGGCCAGTGGCCCATCTAGTCCAACACTCTGTGTCACACAGTGGCCAGAAATACCAGGTGCCATCAGGAGGTCCAGCAGTGGGGCCAGGACACTAGAAGCCCTCCCACTGTTGCTCCCCCCCCAAGCACCAAGAATACAGAGCATCCCTTGCCCCAGCCTGAGAGTTCCATCTATAAGCACATAAGAGAAGGCAATGTTGGATCAGGCCAGTGGCCCATCCAGTCCAACACTCTGAGTCACACAGTGGCCAGAAATACCAGCTGCCATCAGGAGGTCCACCAGTGGGGCCAGGACACTAGAAGCCCTCCCACTCTTGCCCCCCTCCCAAGCACCAAGAAGACAGAGCATCCCTTGCCCCAGACCGAGAGTTCCTACCGATACCTTGTGGCTAAGAGCCACTGACGGACCTCTGCTCCATATGCTTATGCAATTCCCTCTTGAAGCCATCCATGCTTGTAGCTGCCGCCACCTCCTGTGGCAGTGAATTCCATGTGTGAATCACCCCCCCTTTCAGTGAGTCTCTCGGAATATGCATTTGCATTTATTTGCATTTATTTATTTATTTATCTCTCACTTTTCTCCCCAGTTGGGACTTTTAAAGTGGCTTTTAGCACATCGTTTCCCCTTCCTCCGTTTCCTCACAACAGCAACCCTGTGAGGTAGGCCGGGCTGAGAGTTTGTGACAGGCCCATGGTCACCCAACGAGCCTCTATGGTAGAAGTAGGAATTCGAACATGGGTCTCCCAGATCCCTAGACCACCGCTCTACACCACAATGGCTCTGCACTGGACAAGTCAAGACTAACGCTCCCTCTAAGCTGTGGAGTCTTGTGAGCAAAAATTCTACTTTGTGAACTACTGGCATTAAAGCTGTGAGTGAGCCATTTGGCTCCTGCAGAAATCAGTTTGCTCTGGAGCCCTCCTTCCTGAGCTAAGGCAAAACAGTGTGAACTGGAGGCTAAAAAACTGTGAGCTAGCTCACACGAACTCAACTTAGAGGGAACACTGGTCAAGACATCCGCCCAGACAAGGTTGGCCCAAACAGTCGCCTTCTGAAAGCAAGAGTAGTTCCGCTACCGAGGGTTTCCAACTGTTGGTTGGGAAATACCTGGTGATTTCGGGGGCGGGTGGTGGTGTAGCGCATGGGATTGGGAGGATTTGGGGAGGGGAGCGACCTCAGTGTCAGGGTCCTTAGTCAGGTTACGCAACACAGGGCTTCATGAGAAGATAACTGTTTATTGGTCAATCCAGTACTAGAGACACGTGTACAGCTCGTGTCAGGAATGGCCGCCAATACTAGGGCCTCTGACTTATACTAGAATCAAACATCCCCCTGGTAAGCATGAGCTAATGGATACATCTCGCGCGCGCGGGTAAAAGCAAGCAGGCAAAGTGAAAGCCGTGCAGGCAAGGTGAAAGCCGTTAACTTGCCCAGCCGGGTAAAACTGCAGCTGGAGCATCTACAAGGTCAAGCATAAGATAGCAGACAGTTGGTGAGCCAGGATGAGGCAGAAAATGGGAGGGCACCCCTCCACATTCCAGGCCTAGGACAGGGCTACCTGACATCCAGCTGGGTACGATGCCAACGACTCCAAGGCTGCCATTTTCTCCAGGGGGGGGACTCATCTCTGCAGTCTTGAGATCAGTTGTAATTCTGTGAGTTCTCCCGGGACCGACCTGGAATGCTGATCCCCCCCCAGCATGTATTCTAATAACATCCCCTCTGCGCTCAAAGGATCGATTCATCGATGGGGGGCTGCAGAGGTGGAATCCCTTTATTCCTCTGCGCATTCGGATCTGTGGCACATTTTGCCTCTCGGACGTTGTGTGGGTGGGTGGGGGGGGCATTTCTCATTATGCGGGGGAGGACTCGGAGGAGAAATGGCAAAATTGCAGGTTTGCTGCAGCCCAATATTGTTTGGTACATCTGTGTTAGGTGCAGAGGTGTGCCAAATGTCCCCTAGTTCCCATCTTTTTTGGGGGGGGGGGATTTTTATAGGGTTGCCAACCTCCGGGTGGTACCTGGAGATCTCCCACTATTACAGCCCATCTCCAGACTCCAGAGATCAGTTCCCCTGGAGAAAATGGCTGCTTTGGAGGGTGGACTCTACGGCATTCTACCCGGCTGAGGTCCCCCCCCTCCACCATTCTCTAGGGATAATCTTTTCTAATTATTATTGGTCATTGATTAAAACGTATGCTGTAACATCACCACTGTATGAGATTCCATTCCAGTTCACCGCATGCTGTAAGAGGGATCTGTCAAGGATGGGCAAGTGGGTGTCAACGTGGCAAATGGGGTTCAATGTGGCCAAGTGCAAAGTGATGCACATTGGAGCCAAAAATCCTAATTATAAATACATGTTGATGGGGTCCGAACAGGCAGAGACTGGCCAAGAGAGAGATCTTGGAGTCATAGTAGATAACTCTCTGAAAATGTTGAGACAGTGTGTGACTGAAATAAAAAAGGCCAGTGCTATGCTGGGATTAGGAAGGGTATTGAAAACAGATCAGCCAATATCATAATGCCCCTTTATAAATCAATGGTGCAACTGTCAGAATATGAATATAGAGGCACAGGTGCAGAGATAATGTTTACATGTATAAAGTTAGATTGCGCCTGCAAACTACTTGAGGATTCAAGCTTGATAGATGTGGGCGTGTACTGAGAGGCTCTGTCAGTCTCATCTGTGTGAGGCAGCCTGAACTCTGATTGGCTGTCGCGACTGTCTTGGTCATACACAGAGATTCTAAGAGTGACAGTTGTTCAGTTACTCTCTGTCAGTTGGTCTGTCTGTGAGCACAACTGTTGTTAGCTCTATGTTAATCTGTTATTATATACAAAGTTATTGTTTAATCATTCACCAGTTATTAGTTATATAAACACCATTTGACTTAACCGTATTTGGTGTGTTTATTTTGAGTCTTCCACGAAACTCTTTAACAACAGGTATATACCACATACCTTCAACAGACTCCTGTTACTTTAAGCGGGGAAAGGGGCTGATTGTGAATAAAGAGGAGAGATGCGCTCAAGGACTGGGTATCAGCTGTGAGGTAACACTGGCCCAGGCATTTCTTCCCAATAAATAGAGAAGACCCCATTGGGGTCTCTCTCTTGGAAGTTCTGGGGTTAGAGCAGCACCATACCTCCCTTTCGCTCAACCGACTGGTCCCGGGAAGGGAGTTCATGACAATTTCCCAACCCAGAGCTGGCAACCTCACACGACGAGCAAACTTTTTCAGATGTGCCGAAAGGGAAGATGTTTTTCGACCAACGACCAACAGTACAGCACACAGCAAGAAACAGCAAAGGCCAACAGAAAACAACGGTGAGCTGAATTACCCGCAAAAATATATACAAAAGGAGACTTTGACAAAGTGAAATGCACATGTAATCAAGAATGAATCCATTATAGGAAATCCATCATAGAATGAATCCATCATAGGAAAATACAGAAGCCCACAGGATCCATGAAAGGGAAATACAAAGTCCAGAGTAGATTTCAACACTTTTCCTCGGTAGTATGCAGTGTTTCAGACTTCTGGCCTGTTTGGTCCTGTTACACAGAAGCAGCCTTGAGAGGTGCTCACTAAAGCTTAGGAGACCTGGCCCATAAGGAAACTGAATAGTATTGTCCAATAAGGAAATGGAATGAGACTTCCTATAGTTGTTCTTTGTTCCTGAGGGACCAGAAGTCTGAAACACTGAAACACTGAATACTACCTAGGAAAAGTGTTGAAATTAACTCTGGACTTTGTATTTTCCTTTCATGGATCCTGTGGGCTTCTGTATTTTCCTATGATAGATCAGGGGTCATTTCGTAGAAAAAGAGGTGCGGGAGCTCATTAGCATAACTCATTAGCACAACTTATTTGCATATGCCACACCCCCTGACATCACTGGAAGTGTGTCAGAAGGCAACACCCACCGCTCAGGCTCCACTGGACTCTTTTGGGTGGCTAGCTATTGGGGGGGGGGGGAGGAACGTGCAGATCTGTCCTCGCAGAGGAGGGAGAGCTTGTACCTGAATAAAACTTGGTCATAAAGGTGCCACTGGACTGCTTTGGACCAGGGGGCTGGGGGGGGGGGTGCTCTGCAATTTACTTGGCTACTTCTTGCTCTGACTGAGGGCTGCTGGGAGCAGGGGGTGGGGCTTCTTGCATGTGCCCACCCCCTGGGCTCTTTACTGCCGGAGCTCCGCTCCTGTGCGCTCCTGCAGGAAATGACCCCTGTGATAGATTATATGTATAGATTCATGCAAGATGTTTTTTCGAGACACAGAGAGACATTTGCAAAAAAGCCAGGGTACTTTTGGTGCAGTTATGCTTCGGAGGTGACTTCGGACAAAGAAACCCATGTGAGAACACCTCCACGGACCTTCCGACAGACTTCTCTTTTCAAGGCTCTCTGTGCATCAGAACTGGAAATACTCTCGACTCGGCAGTTGGCGCGTTTCCTCTGGAAGAGTTTCTCTCTCTCTCTCTCTTACACACACTCACAAACACACACATTTCCCAGTTGCTCCACAACAACTTTCCATGTGGCGGCCCCAAGCATGTCTGTATGTGCCAGTGATGTGGTGGGCTGTGGGTCAGCGACTGACCTCTGATGATTTATGAGCTGCTGAGAAAGGTCAGCTGCAATGGGAGCTACAGTCAGCCGGCTCTGCAGTCGACAGAATGTCTTGTGGGAGATGCTGAAACACGGGTGTCTTGTTTCTTTCACACACACACCCTCCTTGGTCCCAACAAAACATCCAAGCCAGATTCATAGAATCATAGATTTGCAGAGTGGGAAGGGGCCATACAGGCTATCTAGTCCAACCCCTTGATCAATGCAGGATCAGCCTAGAGCTGGGGTGTCAAACATA